CAGTTTCTTCCTCAACATAGATGGTTTGTGGTGCTGATGACTCCTCTTTAACTCTGTATGACTCCTCTTGCTGCCATTCCTCACTCCACTGCAGATCGAGCAGGTGCCTGTTCTTCAGAGCCATTTAATGTCCACACAAAAAGAAGGTGGCAAAGACATGTTGGCCACATGTTGCCTTTGCATCAGAATAATCCCACCTGGACAGAAATCCCAGACAAATCACTGCCACCTACTTGTGGGCCATTGCCACCAGGGCAGTGTGACATCATGCATTATCAGCCTCTGCCTTGAAACTGATGGTTAATGTCAAGATCATTTTGCAAATTGATATAAAGCAACAGTCTTTATGTTTATGACTTGAGAGGACTGTGAGAAGAGCCCTTTCCTGCCTTCTGGCACACCTGTTTCTCTCCAAGAGTTGAGGACAGCCTGCTGGTCCAGACAGTCCCTTGGAGTCCCCCAGGCCCTGGTCTGGGGTAGGTCTCAGACAGTGGAAAAACCACCTGTAGCAATGGATTCTACAGCAAAACCCTGTTGCAGAAAATTACTTATTTCTACAACCAGTTGCTTGAAATAAGTAAAGGGTTATAGAAAGAGCATTTCTGGAAGAACAACTATCAAATGTACAACAACAACAGCTCAGGAACTACATTTATTTTACTGTATGTATAATGTGTCACCTTGCAGAGACCTGAGGGCATTTTATAATGATGTGCTTTAAAACTGTGAACAATGAAAACTAATTCTTCTCCAGAAAAGGCAAACAGGAAACTTGTTTAAAGGACAAAGCTTTCAGTGGATAGCAAGTGCTTGTGTTCACATGTGTGCTCAGGTTGCTTTCAGAGTTGTTTTTTGGCTGCCTTGGCATCTCCAAAAACTAATGTACATGCCTAAGTGACATATGTGTACACTGCATCTCAGCCACTTCAACAGCAAGTGACACTTAATTAAAACCACGCATTAGAGAGCTCATCCTCTCATCATAAGTGATGGTACTGACAGATGAGTTATTTTTACATCAAGCTTAATTATGTCAAATCTCAACCCACAAGTGTGCAGTAGAAAGGGTAGCATTTTTGTTTGTTACTAATAAGCTGTGTTTACTATTTTTCTTCTGCACAATTCACATGTAATGAAAAGTGACCCAAACTCACATACGTTATTTGCCAATTAAAACCCTTTCACTTTTGTTGTCCTATCACAACAGTCTGGGTACACAAATTTAATAAAAGAAAAAACCATAGGACTGTCCCATCTCTTAGCTCCTCATCATGATGTAAGTTTAAAGCCTTAAGGAAACAATGAATAAGTTTGCCTGTTTGCATGGAGTCAGTTCTATAAATTTTTCTTGTTCAGACTCTTACATATATAAAGATCCTCATATGAATCCGGGAGGTCCTGTTTCTCTCTCACAGACTGATTCTTCTTGTAGGAAGAAGTCAAAGCTGTATACAGAACCATACCAAAATGGTTCTCCCTAATTAATGTGGCCAATAAAACAAACTTCTCTGAAAGGGAATAACTTCAGTCTTCAAAATAAAAGATCAGATTGTGCTGCTCCTGCTCCCAAAGCAGCATCAGCAGCTGAGTGGGCCTACTATGAGAAAAGTGTATTAGCTCAGCTAGCAAAGTCTCCCAAATAAAAGCCAATTAGGCTACAATAAAAGTGGGGTTTTTGAAGTCTATCTTCAGTGTTCAGAAAATATTATAGTTACTGTAGGACATTTTAACTCCAAAGCCACTCAAAACCCAGGAAATGAAGACCTAGGATGACCACATTCATATCACCTCCTACCCCTTCACTGAAGTTTACCCCTGCAACATCTCACTCCTAAATCTCTGCTATGCTATCTGCTTGCACTCTGAATAGTTGTTCTTTAACAGATTAAAAAGTATTTCTACACCTTTAGTAAGGACTGAAAGCTTGCACACAGAGTGATGGTTAGCACATTTCAGAGGAGTATGTGGTTTCCACAGGTCAATTTATTAGTGCAGATGTATGACACACTAAGTAAAATGTTTCATTTGGAATAAGGAGATGAATTTTCAATATCTGTTTCTCAAGAGAGTGCCAAATCCATGGGGTTATTGGATATTTGCAAGAGGGATACTTTGTTGAGTTTTGTTTGTTTGTTTGTTGTTTGTTTTAGTTTTGTGTTTGTTTTTAACTAGGTGTATTTACCCAAATTTTAAGTGTATTCCAAAGCAAATGGTGCTTGTGTGGCCATGATGCAATTACCCACAAACCTCCATAGCTGAACTGTGCACCCCAAGTCCCTCTCCCCAGCAGTCCCTGGAGGTGTCATGGTGCAGGTGGCTGGGCCAGGGCTCCTGGTGCACTAAAGCATGGGAGGAGGCTGCTCTGTAAGCCACTGAAAAATGTACATGGTAGCAAGGTCTTTGCAAATGTCCCAGTGGAGAGAGCTTCAGTTGAAGCTATTGGCCATAAGACACTAATCCATCAGAAATCAACCTTCATGCCTGCTGATGTTCCTGGAGCTACTTGCCTCTTAGCCACACCTGATTTAACCAGCCTAGGCTAATGTCTAGCATATTTTTCCTAAGAAGAGAATTTCCTACTTTATTGGGGATCAGGCCAGATTCACAACAGGAGCAGTGCCATGATGGACTCAGCGCTCCATGGAAGACACAGAAGTTGGCAGCATCCTTGCAACAGCCAGAGTCTGGGAAGAGTGAAGTGCCTCAAAATGGAAATCCTCAAAATGTCCTGGCCAGGACCATGACAGGGCTTAGGAACCTGGCAAGGCTTTGCTATCCAGTCCTCCAGACTCGCCCCAAAATCCAGCCTATGGAACCCCTCCTACCACTGCTTCATATCTTGGTACTTAATAACCCTGTCAGCTATGGGGCATTGCAAGACCAAATGCATGACAGCATTCTTCTTTGTTTGAATAAATTTTGGAAATCTTCCCTCTAAGAGGCTTGGAGGCAGGCTGGGTGGGCTCATGGAGAGGGAACAGTCTGGGCTCCTGGCTGGGCAGCGTGGCTACAGGGGCTCTCTCACAGGATTGTCCAGCTCCCTCCTCTTGAAGCTTTTCTGCTTTGTATGACTCAGTTTTGTTTTCTTTTTCACTCAGACACTCCCAAACCTAGCAACTGGGGGACCACCTGGGATAGAGTTTGGAAACTAGGTTTCAGTTCTTACTCTTAACAAAATTTAAATATCTTATATTGAGTATTGCCCAGAGCCCACACCTCCATACAGCCTGGCAAGTACCCAGCCACCACGCAGCAGCATCATTCTTCTTTTGCTCTCCAAATAGTCACTTATCCCTAGGCAAATGTAACAGTTAAAAACCAAGAAGTATAGGCAGTTGTGAGTGAAACAGCTAAAGTCTCCCCAAGCTGATGGGAAGATCAAGTCCAGATCTCCCACCTGAGCTCCCTAAGCATGGGCTAATATACCAGCGTGACCATTCTCATAAGGAGAATTTAATGTGTTGCATGTGGGTCTGTTCATCCAGCGCAGACCAATTCAGGTAAAGCATGTCCAGAAGCACATGTTTAGGCATGCAAGGAACTTGGTGGATGTAAACGTAGGTGTTAAGGTATGTAGGTACCTCTGAGGTGAAGAGGCAGGCAAGCAAGGTTTCTTAGGATCTAAATCTTAGACTTAGCATGTGAAGTGACTTGTCTGCTAGGCATCCAAGTTCCTCTTTGGGATTAAGTCCATGGAGATGATATAACAGAAAGTAGCTGCTTCTCACCTCAGAGTGCTCCCAAATCAAAGATTCAAACAGTGCCTGCTGTTCTATGCACTTTTCACACACCCACCACTAACTGCTCTTCTGTGATTAAGGAAAAGTGTTTCATCTATGTATACAAAAAAGGGTGAAAACTCCACATGAAAAATATTGCAAAGTGAAACAGTAACTGCTTATAAGTTTTCATCTCTTCTGCAAAAATGGACATGTCTGTGAAGTTAAGCAAAGTCTGTGTGCACCACTTGTTAAATTCATCCAGCCAGCATCAGTAATTATAGGTAAAATACCACAGATAGCAGCTTTGCTTCTGTGTGTATTTCAGGGAACTTGAGCTGTTAGCAATGCCTTTGAACTTGACTTTGCAAGAGGAAAAGCAGATGTCTTTCACTCATTTTGATTAAACTAATACAGCTTGTGCAGCAATTGCACCTTTAAGTTTTAGTCCATCTCTGTCACAGGCACAGGCACCAGTAGATGAAAGTACAACATCAGCAGTTTATTAAAAGAAACAGCAAAAACACCTAGGACATCAGGACTGAAGCAGCATCTCAAGTCATTTCACTCAAGTCTTTCTGCAAAACTGTTTAAAAAGGGATGAACAGAAAGTCCTGAAAGGACAAAATAAATCCAGAGTACATTCTTCCCTCTCATTTTCTTTGCTTCTGTGTTTTATAATCCATAAGAAAAAGCCATGCACACATAGAAAAAATTATTACTTTAGCTGCTAAACACATGTATCATCCAACTGCTTTTGTCTTACTTCTGTCATATATATTTTAAGAAATAACTTTATGATGCTTCTTATGTGCATCTCTGAAATTCTCCAGGGATGCTCGTATATTTAGGAAGATCTTACTGAATTAATAAGACAGAGCACTTTGGAAAAGGCTTTAAAATAATGTGAGAGTTACAACCAAGGCTGTGCTGTGGGTGAGCAATATATGGAGTTGAGCTCGACTACAGTGTTTTGTTGAAGGCAAGCGCTCCCTTCCAAAGCAGACAGAGGCTCTATCAGCTGTAAGCCCATCACTTCACAGTCACAGACTCTTTCAGTGATGCCATACAAAGCCTTTTGAGCCGCTACAAACCACAACAAGTTCAAAACCTGACTCATGTCTAGAACTTCAACTCACTCGCTGTTGCTGGCTTAGTCATTGCCAGCAGCCCTACATGCATCTGCTAATCCTGCGGTATCCTGAGCACCGTTCCCTCCTGTGGGAAAGCCCTGGTTAGTCAGCCTCGCAGAAAGGTAGGGTACTGATGTATTTCTCTTACCGTTGTGCTGCTTTGTTCTTCTTGCATTCCCATCTTAATGACTGTGCAAGCTGTTGGCCTTCCACACTTTCTTTGTGTCTATGTAAATTCAGTGTTTGATGCTGAAGAGGCGGAGATGATTTCTAAGTCAAGGGGCAGGTGTGAGTGAAAGGAGCAACCCAACAGCCAAACTATTTGAAAAAGAAACCTTTAATGTCTCATCAGCTCAGCACTGGAAAAAAAAAAGCCTTCATAACTTGCCTTGAAAACTGGAAAAACAGGGTGTCTAGCTATAATTTAAGACATTAATAACAAGAAGATATTGCAGTTCCCTGACATATTTTGACTTTTGCACAGTAAAATGGTATCTTAAAAACTGTCTGATTATTAAAATGTGAAACACTGTCAGTAACAGAGAAATTACAGATAGGTTTAGCCCAGGCTAAATTTTAGAGCACATCTGAAAAAATGGTTCTTTCCCTTTCTTGAATGGACATACTGACAAGTATTTTGGCATGACCAAAAAATTTTTACTGTAACAACTTTACAGTATCAACCATGGTCTTCAGTCTGAAACTGCAGCCTCGGGATGTGACACCCTGATTAACAAACTAAGTTTCAGCAAAAAGTATTTTTCAGCCACAGCCAGCAAGTATACACTCTTTCAGTCTGGTAGTCTCCTTTACAGCACAGAAAACACAGCAAAGCAAGAACACACACATACTGTCATATAGGAACAGAGGACAGTACAAGGCATCTAAATTCCCACAATTTATTTTTATTTCCATTGTCTAGAAAACACTTTCAAGCACAGATTTAAAGATTAAGAATGTTGAGTAGCTTACTCGCCTGCTTTGGGACAGTTTGAAAATTTGAAGTTGTGCTTAAAAGCTCCACCATCGTGAGTCGTGGACTCCACCAACAAGCATATACAGCCTCCTCTGCAAAAGCATCTTTACAGTCACCATGGAAATCTCAAAAAGAAACCAAAAGTCAAATTTCCTATTGGATTACTTCCTTCTGCTGAAATAATCAATTTTCTACATGGTTGCTTCATCTAGAAAATTTTTATGAAGGTAGTAGATAGATGGGCAAATGCAAGCATCCTGCTCCTTGTGCCTTCAAAGCTACACATAAAGATAACAGTGTTTTCTTTTAATCTTTTTTTCATTACTGAATATTACGCTTACAACAATCCTGCTTTGCTACAGATGGTTTCCTGTTGTTTCTGCCAAATGTGAAATAGCTATAAAACTTGAAAAGGTTCTGATGCTGTCACTGCATGAAAAATTGCATCTACAAGGGAAAATTAAATATGAGCCTTAGCCTTTAATTGCTTTAATCTTACTTAGTAAGTGAACTTTTTTCACTCCCACCCCCAACTCAAAGCTTCCGATAACATGACCTGAAGGGAAAAATACAGCTATATATTTTAGTCAGGTATAAAGCCTTCATTAACAAAAACAAAAAAAAGAGGAAGGGGAAGTAGATAATTCTCATGTCCAGGCTAACCAAACAGCCACCAACTCCAGCTAACAAGAGCACTGCCTTTGGCTTAGTTTCATAAAATATGTAAAGTCATTTCTGTTAGAAGACAGTGAAGTTCCCGTTTTCAGTGCTATAATAAGTAAATCTGTCACCTGAGCAGACAAATTACTAGAAAATGGCTTGTGTAATCCCAAGGGGACAGAGCCTTTGCTCCTTGCTTGGGCAAACCTCAGTGAACTCAGTGACAGCTTTACTTGAACGCAAAAGGGGTGTTAAGAAGTACTTCAAAGAAAAATTGAGTTTTATACATATGATTAAGAAAACTCTTGACGCTCTGATGCTCTCTACAGGTATAGATTCAGTGATGTATGGGAGAAGGGATAGGGAAAAGGTATTTTACCAGAAAAGGCATGCAACAGGCACATGACTTATGAGTGGAGCATCAATGAACAAGCGAGCTTCACAGGCTCCCTCAACTTTCTGTCAGTATTTGACTGGCACTACATCAACATACTCATTTTCTAGAAAAAAAAAATCAGTGAGTATTTAACCACATCCTTCTATCAACAAGGTAAGGCTGTGCTCATTGCCATGGATCTGCCTGTACAAGCAATGGGGGTAGAGGCAAAGAGTAAATATGAGAATTTGTTCCATCATTTTGAGTGCATTTGTCTGTCTGCTGCCTTTCATAGAAGGTCTGATATCTTAGGGCTCTGCAGCACAAGAAACAAGTGCTCTGTGTTACACTGGAAATTTGGCAAGCACCCATTTCTGCAGGAAGAAGGCATTTAATGGTAATCTCACCCAAACAAGACATCAGACCTCAACTTTCCAGCTGCTCAGACCTCTATTGTTCTTTCTAGGGGATGGATCCGATAGTCATTTGCTACAAGAAGAGATTTACTCTTGCTTGGAAACAGAAGTTGGTGCCATATTATTTTCTTTCAGCTTGTGCTGCCTTTCCCTGCTCTGGAGGCTGGAATTTAAAAGCTGAGATAGAGGTGACACTGTGGGCAGGAGTGAGCGGAAAATGTGTACACTCATCAAACTGCAACCAGATGTCTCATCTACATGTGGACGCGCCTCTCCCATGTGCTGTACCCGCAAGGGCACCACTCACTGCCTCCTCAAAGTGCTCCTGGTGTTTCCCCATGCAGAGGTACTTGCAGCAGAGATATCTGTTTGTTTAGTCTGACTTTCACCAAAGCTAAATTAGAAACAACCTTATGCAACCTCTGGAAGATCTGCATCTCCCAGCTATGGACAAACCCCTGTAGTTCAGCCCAGATGGGGTTCCTGGTTCATTTAAAGATATCCATGCTGGGGAGAGTAGGGGTGCAGGGGCTGCTTGGCACCCATGGGGCTGACCTGCTGGACCTGCTGCTTTCTCTGAGTGACCCTGCACAGTGCCTGACTTTGATGTCTGTGAAAACCACTGACTGGTCACTTGGGCCACAAAAGCATTCACAGAAAAGCACCCTTTATTTTTCTTTTGTGGTGTAGCCTGTGTACGTGGGGACCTTGGATGAAAATCAGAAATGGGCATGCAGGTTGGATATGTGCTGACATTACTGAGAGTCTCCTGTTGACTTTACTGGGAGGCATATTGAGCTCCTATATGGTCATTTTATCAATTTATTTTTTTATTTATTACCAATTTTGTCATTTGGTCACGAGCTGAACTATTTGCACCTTTCACATCCATTTAAATACCACAAAGCGCTAGTGCTGGACTTTTCTCACAAACAGAAACCATGATAAAAAACACAACCGTGCCACATCAGAGACGTTCTTCGTGTACTGTACAATATTTGCATCTAGGTTTCCTTGTTTCTAGCCAGTGCCATCTGTTATCTGTTTTGGTCTGCTTATAGAAATGGCAATTTTTGAAAAATGAGAGCAAGAAAAGAACAATGGCTTTTTCCTTTGTATTTTATGTCCCAAAGAAACCAACTGGATCTACACATGCACAGAAGAATATACCCCTCCAACTGGCAATATGTTAGCACATGCTTTTTCTGTATGGAAATTTTAAAGAGACAAGACTCATCACGGGGAAGTATTTGAATGTAATAAAATAAATCTGTGCCCCACAATGCCTCGATACTCGATTTTGCTTTTGTCTCTCTTGGAGAGTGCTGACACTCAGACTTGGTGATGGAATAAATACTGGCAGCTGAGATAGTTACTGCCCTCAGCTGTGCGCTCTGCCCCTCTTTTGGAAATTATTGCTCTCCTGCAGCCGGCACAACTGAATGCTTTGTGAAACCAGCTTCAGACTGCCAGTCTTCACGCCAGCCTCAGCTTAAGCAGATCTACCAGTCCATTAACTCTTGTGGGTTGGAGGTGAGCCCACAAGCCACTGAGCCATGCCTGATGTGCAGGTGGAAAAGACTCAGTGAGAAAGGGGGTGGCCAGTTGAAGGCGGTGCTGCTTTGCTTTCCCCCCTGTCACGGGCCACTGGCTGGGTGGCAACCCACAGATCATTCTTTCCTATTTGTGGAGAAACAAACACGTCCAACTCGGGGGACCCATTGTCACCAGCTACCCACTGGGAGAAGAAATGGCAAAATCTCAAGGGACAAAAAAGAGAACATATCCCCAGCCTTTTCTCTTTAGTTGACTCTGATAGGAACAGAAATGTTACTTTAGGACGGTAATGTCAAGCTCCTCTTTGTTATAAGTGGCAAATTGAAGTTTCCCATGTCTGAGGATGCTGCCTGTTTCATAGTCCCTAACTAGAGCAGGCTATAAGCCAGCATCAGGTATTTTAACAGATTCTGCCTATTTTAGCCTTTGATATAATCTGTTCCTCATATTTTTGCTGTCCCAGTGTTTCTCTTCCAAGATTTGTGATCTGGATGAACAGGGTCTTTTAGTCTTCTTCTTTCAAATGACAGAAGCCAATTTCTAGAAAACCTCAGTTTATCAGCTATTACTATACAGATCTCTTTCCCCCCCAGTCCGTCTCCCAAGCAGTGGAGAGTGCATACAGTTGTGAAAGAAAAACAGAGCACATCATGGGAATGCATCCTTATAGCCTGGGTAATTATAAATATCTAATCCTGAATTATTAAAATGATTCTTGCTTAAAATGAAGAGAAAAATCCTGACTGTCAATCTGCAAATAATTGTATGCTGCTTAACTGGCACTTCGGTAGTTTTTGTTTGTGATATATCCAAAGGAAGAGATGGATGAACTGTCAGAATTAAAAGCTCTCTCAGCACTTGGCCATATGTTTCTGCTTTGGTCCCCAGCCTGTTACATTGCTGAACAGAGGATAAAGGCTGGTCTTCATATACAACACAACCTCCAGGGGAGATGGGGAAAAGAGTGAATCTTTCCAGGGTTCCTTCTTACCAAAGAGCTGGCTTGGACTTGGATGCAGTCAAGTTTTGCAGCACCATGTGCTGTTATAAAGCCTAATGAACCAGAGATTCATTACCATGATCTGCAGGGGATGTACATCCACCAGCACTTGCACAGTGGAGATAGAGTGAAAAACTGGAGCTCATGTATCTTTCTATGCCGGCTCCAAGTAGGAAGATTGGTTGGGAAGGGTTGGATGCTGGAAGTTAGCAACTAGGTTGACCTTGGCCTTAAAATCAAAAGGGTCTCAGGATGCCACAGG